TTGTAGAATGGAATACTCCAGACTCCTTTGCGAGGGCTGCATTTGATTCACCGGCTTCTAATCGGTGTAATATTGCACTTTTTTCTTGCAAAACGCTTTCGCTTCACAGAATTCATTTTGTCGAACTTTATAAACTTACAACAAGTGACAAAGACTTCATACTGGAACCTCTGGCATAAAATCAATCTCTTAATATCTGTTAGTAGTACGTATCAATAGAGGTACCTAAGAATACTACCTGTTAGCAGTGTTGCCACAAGCCATTTTTTCATCGAGGTAGATTTCTGGAAGGGAACGGGGTAGAACCGGGGTGGATCCACATTCAGATGATGACACCAATCACAGTGACGTATACCTATGATTGTCGTTCTTTGTTCTATGATAAATTTGACGATCGTAATCAAAAACATGTTAAATTTCATTGCATCCAAATTTGGGATCGATGTGTTTTCAAACCATTCCTCGAAAATATTAGCTTCCATGTTCTTATGATAGTCAACATTGTAGTCCTCAATTTTTTTCCATGTCCTTTACTTCCTCCGCAATGCACAATGATTAGTCGCGATCCTTTGTTTGCAGGCTTGTTTGGCGTACACATTCTTGGAACCATCAGTCCACCCTTTCGCAACTGTGTCGTTAGTGTCATACCAAGTTTCGTCCAAATTGAAAATTTGCCGTTATTCTTGTCTATATTTAGTTATTCGTTCTAAGCATTTATTACGCAATTCTACTATTCTTCTGCTTTCCATACCTGCTTGACATTTGTTAATTATTTTAAATCTAAATCCTAGTTTCTTTATCCAATTCTGAAGAGTTTTGTCACAGCAGCTCACGTTAAGCCGGAAGTATTCAATTTATTCCTTATGATTTCAATGTAGGAATCTCATTGATTTTTTAACAGTCGTATATTGTTTTTTCAATGATTTTATTGGATGAAGATCTGAAGGTTTTGGTAATCCTGTATCACATCGCGTCTTGCGTCCATAAGGTTTGTTTTTGACTATTTCACGTACAGTTAAGAAAGGAATTTCGGTCAAATCTGATGTTGCTTGTGATAGTTTGTTTCCCTCGAAACCAAACTTGAGATGTAGATTCTTATATACATTGAATCAAACTCTCTGTGTTTCAAAATTCAAATGCATCCGAATCTTATTCCCTGGTATCTCTTTTTCGTATTGTTCACCATCGCTATTGGAATCACTACACTAGAAAAAGTCTGCGTTGTTATCACACTCGTTATAACTATTAGTACTTATCCAAAGACGCCACATTTTAAATAGATAACAAAAATTTTAAGTAAATATAACTGCACCAATATCGAATTTCAACACTCAAATCGGAATCAGTTCCTGAACTGAACACGACGGCGATAACCAAAGGCCGCACTCCATGATTTCTATTCGTCACCGTAACATGACTTTAAATTTATTTTATGACTCTTCAGTCAATCACAAAAGTCGGTTAGTAAAAATTATCCAATACGAAACGCCAAGTGTAAGTACAGTCCACACATAGAAATGCTGCCGGTTCATTTCTATGGTTGGTTTTTATGACCTTTGAGGGTGCCGACAACTGTAATAGTGTACAATATCGGTTACTTCGACTATACATATAACTACATTTACATCCCAGACTGAGATTGCACATAATATAAACATTTTCACATTTAGGTTCTCAATTTTAACTAAAAATGTCGAATGTCATGTCACAAACATCAAATAAACATAAAAAACGCGGTAGAATCAAAATCAAACATAAATATTTGTTCATTTTTTCAATTTTTATTTTACATTCTTCTGCTTTATATCGGAGCGGGGTAGATTTACTTGAGGGGAGCGAGAGGGTGAAATTGAGTTCAAGAGGGGTAGAACTTCCCCGTAAGGGGTAGCTGTGGCAACAGTGCCTGTTAGTAGTAGCTATCAATAGAGGTATCTAAGAAGAGGGAGTGCGCCGAGGTGTTGGTGCGCAGATTGTGTATACAAAACATTGCACAACGTTTTAACCGGACGTATTGTCATGAAAAACGGTCGCTATAAGCGGTTGGTCGCTTAAACCGGAGTCGTACTAAACGGTATATTTTGTCAATAACTAAATATGAAACTAAATTTGAGTAAACATTATCGTCGCTGTGAACGGATAGTCGTTATAAGCAGAGTCGTTATTTATGAATTCTACTGTGATAGTTATATTGCGTTAAACTATACAGTGCATTCCATTTAAAACGAGCCACACTGAATAACTTTTGATACAATGATATTCAGGAAAAATAAAAAAACACGTCAACGATAGTATATAAGGTGAAAAAGAGATTTTTTAATAATTCTTGAATCAAAATCTGATGACTGGACAATGAGAAGAAAAAATGTTCTATAGGTAACGTTCAAAACGTTTCCACCAACTTCCATACAATGGTACAAACGAGCTTCCATTAACGTCCTCACATGGTTGAGAATCTCGAAAGTTATTTCTCTGCAATGCCTCATGATATTCTCTCTCAGATCTTCTAATGTTGTTGATTCTATCTCATACACTTTAGACTCCAAATAATCCCATAGAAATACATCTACAAAAGTGAGATCCGGAGACCTTGGTGGCCATTCTGTAGGACCTCTTCTGCCAATCCAGCGATCAGAAAAATAACCATCTAAAAATTGTCGCACTGGAGCTGCATAATGAGGAGGTGCACCTCCTACTGAAAAACTATTTCGTTTTCGAATAAATTCATATCCTCCTCAATTGCCCTATTGATGCACGGTATTATTCGATTCTCCAACATATCCAGATATTCATCACTAATCAAATTATCATCGATAAAAAAAGGTCCCATGGTGTAGTCACCTAAAATTCGGTATAAATGAGGATTCGTATCACTCCAATATCGACAATTTTACCGGTTCACCTCTCCATTCAAACTAAACGTACATTCATCTGAAAAACAAAATTTATTTATGCAAGAAATTCTGATGTAAGTTGATCCGTTCAGTGAGACTTTCACAAAACTCGATACGTCTATCGAAATCATCTTTGTTCAATTCATGAGCTAGTCTAATCTTTTATGGATTTAATTTGTATTTACAAAGGATGCTGAAAACAGTTTTATGACAGATTCCTGATTCTCGAAATAACTCAGTAAGAGATTGCGAACTTTCAATTAGTCCAATGTACCCTTAAACTGCAGTACAAATAGCTTCATTGTTGACAAGTCCTGAACTGTTATGATTTTTATTGTTGACCGATGCAGTGTCCATAAATTTGTTCAATAATTCCGAAACGTATTTGTGTCGTACATTTCTTCCTGGATGATTATCATTGAACATACGGGCAGCAGCTCTAGCACTATTTACATTCTGGTAGTACAAACTCACTATTTCAATCCGTTCTCGAAGCCTCTGAACCATTGCTTCTCAAGAATTCACAAAAACAGAAACACGAATTAGAACTTCACCTGGTATATACTTGTTAATTTAGAATGAGACAAATACAAAATGAAGAGAATGTCGAATTCAAACTCAACTAGGCAAAATAGGACTTTTTTGAAGTATACTTCACAAAAACACAAATGAAACCTAGGTAACAAATTATTCAGAAGTTCTTTCAGGGTGGCTCTTTTTTTCCTCAAATAATTTTCAGCTTTCAAACTATGAATTTCAGACCATAATGTATTCTACTTTGTTGAAATCTGTTCATCATGGAACATCTGAAAATGCAAAACAATTGATCCATTAAAAAAAATGGAGACATGCTCTGTGAGTGCGATAGGAAAAATTAGATCAAATGTGAATTTGTCAAAATATGTCCCCCTGTATACTTTGGTTGACGTGTTTTTTTATATTTTTCTGAAAATCTTTGTTCCAAAAGTTATTCAGGGTGGCTCGTTTTCAATTCAAATAATTTGTAGCTCCCGAACCATAAGCTTCAAACCATATTTTTTATACTTTGTTGAAATCTGGTCATCATGGAACATCTGATAATGCGAAACAATGTAGGGTGATCCGTTTAAAAAAATTGGTAACATACTCTGGAGGTGTAACATCAAATGTGAATATGTCCCCTGTATACTATGGTTGACGTGTTTTTTTATTCTTCTTGCAAAATCATTGTATCAAAAGTTATTCAGGGAGGCTCATTTTAAATGGAATCTGTTTTTAAAAAAATCTGTTTAAAATCTGTTTTTCCGTTAATCAGCTATCGCCACCATAAGAACGACAACTCTCAGAAGTTGAGAAAATTGTGCGAGCTAAGGACTAACGAGGTCTTACCTTTTAACGTGTGATTCCTAACACGTATAACTCCTGCAATGTATAATTATGTCCACAAAAAAATTAGATTGGTTCCATTAGCAGAACGCCACCCTTGAACATTAACTTCATTTGTTAAACATTTCAGATGACCTATATGACGAAATATCATCTCGTGAACCACTTCATTACATGTATGTTTCTCGTATAATAGCACCACTGACAGTATGATTCCGAAACCAATTTTTAGATGATATTTTTCTGATCTGAAATTCATGAAGTCTAAATGTAGAAGATAGCTCAAGTCTAACAAAGGAATTGTTCCTTTTTTTATACTAAAGGGGTGGATAGAAACAAAAATATCACTTATATCATTAGCGAAATAAAATTAAAAAACCCTTTGTGCATTAAGTTACATTGGATATCCTTATCAGTTACAGCATCAGGTAAAACAAGAATTGAAGCAATGTCGATATTGCTGTTTCAATTGTCTACAAAATCTTTTTGAAGACAAACATGTCATCAAAATTTGAACTTAAAACTATGGAACTGGAGACAGGTTACTGTTCTGTAATCGATATTGAGCTGGATAAAATACTTAGTTAGGAGGTCATGTGATTCAATGACTCATTTCAGAACAGGCTGATTGGTAACAAGATCAATTTCACAAAATTTTTTGTTTCCTAGCCAATTTTTTTAATTCAACTGAATTCAGAGCTCTGGTAACTTTTCGTTTTAAAAAACTCTTTCAAAAACCATCAGACATGTCAAATGAATTTTTTAATTTGATAAAAAAACAGGAATATCAATAATTTGAAATAACATCTTCAAAATGATTCGATTTCATATTTACAGTTTGTGGTAATACTTAATATCATTCTTAATGAAACATAACCAAAGTTGCACAGCAGTTTTCTCGGGAGTCTCCTTCAGAACAGCACATTTCTCTAGATACTCATCAACCTTCGACTTATCATGAGTCACCATGTCAATCCTAGTTCTAATGAAATCTTTGAGTAGATCACCTTCCTTAGTCTGCAGACCAGCATTCACAGACATGCATAACATGTGGATTCCAACTTGTTTATTTTCAGCATTTTCACCAAACTTCTTTAACAAATCTTCATCGCAGTAAGTCTTAGGATCCGCTTGACAAGCAAGATAGACTTGCCTCAGTCTTTCTTTCTCTTCTGGTGTAATTTGATGAGCCTAAGAATAACAAAAATGGTACGTTAGAGACGAGACTATTGTCGACCATCAGAAATATTTATTTAAATCATATAAATGCACAATTCATTCAGACCAGTCTTCCCTTACCTACACAATAGGTTCATGGACTGACACTTATCAGAAAACAAATACTACCCTGGCTAAAAACACGAAAGGCGTTAGATTATATCCGACAGGTGTCAGTGCAAGATTCTTAGCTCTGTTACGCCAGCAATGCAAAGTACGGAAATCGCATTTAGAAAATGCCAAAATTAGGTACTTCTTAGGTACCGGAGTCAAAAATTAGGTGCTCTGTAACTTACACCGCAACTCAATACTCAAAGTTGCGTTGCTATAGAATTATGTGAGGATCGTAAAATTTTCTAATGAATAAACAAAAGCTTCCAATTTCGCTAAACAACAGATCTAAGAATCAGGTCTCTCGAAAACGAGGACGAATGCTCTATTAACTGTATTTCAGGGCAGCAAGACCCGAAGCTCCAGCTCCGATAATAGCTATTTTCATCTTCCGCTGGGGTTAACACGACACTGAATATCAATTGATGAATTTGGTGCAGTAATTGAAGTTTATCTACATTATTGCTTCATTCATTAATTATGCTGAGTTATACATATATTTATTTTTGAAAGTAGAACCTAATAGTAACAAAGTAACAAAGTAAAATAGGATTTTTTGAATTGCGACTGGTGAAAAATCTATCCAGTCAATACTTGACTGACTTGATATTTTCAAACGATATGGATAAAAAATCTTCAACAATAACGTACCTATTCAAAAAACACTTCATTGTGAGATTTTCACTAAAAGATTTTACAAAAACGCAACACGTGTTTCGCCATACAATGGCTTCTTCGAACGTTAGCTATGGATATTCATCAAGTATCGGCCAATTCCATTATATTTTTTCAACAATTTTTTATCAATCAGTTCTGAAGTTCGGAACTTTAAGTTTATTTAAGAAGAATATAAAAACCGCATATATCATCATTCTGCGGCAACACAAGGATAAGCCAATGCAAGGGGTCTACTTCAACAACATTGAAGGCCTTGGCTTATCAAAACGTACTTCGTACTTGCTGTCAGTATTTTCAGCATATCCGGTCTCGTCCTATATCCATCAACATAACGCAGCCCTAAGAGTGCTATATTACCATATATGGCACTCTTACGGTATTGACAAGACATCGGTCCTGCCCTACACTTCGGGTGATATTGAATCCGTTGTGGGAAATAAGAAGTGATGAATATCTTGTAACTACCCGTTCCCCATCCTCAGATTCATGCAAGCTAATGAGCCTGATGTAGTTTTTTCGACCACCAGAGCAAACGATATCGTTGGTGTAGTTTTCAGCTCCTGGTGAAAGGAATATCGTCTGAAGAGATGAGGAAATGGATAACATATCAAGACTTTCTCTTCTAACTCTACAGACTATATGCAGACCACTCTGTCGAGATAATTGTTCTGATTCTGGTACTTAGTGGACCAGAATCTCAAAATCATGCCGGCTTGCCGCACTGAGGCAGACATCTTAGCCGGATAAATGCAAAAGGCCGTCATTCTTGCTGCGCTTACTTGCGGCTTACCCCACGGTGTGGGGAGTGGTCGTTGGTTGATGATGCTTGCGCGCCCTTCCGAATATATCGGGGATTCGGAGGATAGGGCCTGACCAGTGCAAACTTAGGTTGAAAAAAATATTGAATCCTTTTGGCCAACGAAAATGATATCTATATTTTGTGGAGCAGCCCCATGGAGTAATATTGTAAGGGACGTGATAATGAGTAACAGCATGATGAACATTCAAAAGCTGATCAATACTGAAGGTGGATAGAAGTTGCATCATAACATAATAACCACAGTTCAATCTTTTCTGACCTGACACACTCGACTTCAAAATCATGTTGCTATAAACGTAGGTACCAAGGAATTTCAAAACTGTTAGCAATAATATTTTTATCGCAGATAATTATTTCATCTATCAATAGGTTAGGTGAAAAATGAGTGCCTCTATTCGATCTCCACCGTAGCCCAGAGGTGTTTGTTGTGTAACTTACGGGTAATTAAATTGATGGATGTAGGCGTTACTACGTTTAGGAAATCATAATGAAGAAAAGAAGCAAGTACAGTTAGACAAGCCACATATTATTTTGAACTGAAAATGAAGTACCATCAAGCATCGCCAGATTTTTGGTTCAACCAAGAGTGCCTAAGAAAAAAATTTTTCCCGAAATACATTAACATCAGAACCAAGACAAAAACACCAGTAACAGAAAAGACGATAATGAAGGCACGAGTGATCTGGCTGAAAGAACAGTGCAAACACTGTTCTCAAAAAGGAATATCCTGCAGCATTATTTGAAAGTATATAAAAATAGTAAAAAACATAGAAAGTTTCAATTCTCTTTTCTTCACTACGGGTTATTATTTCCTTACCTTATTTTGTTTTATCTCTTACCATATCCATATTTGTTTCAGCTCTTTGTGAAGATTTGAATTCCCGAAACAACTCTGATAAAATGAATACTTAGTTTCATGTAACATAAACCTCGTTTAAATTTAGCAAACCACTTCTCAACGGTTGACTTTCCTGTTGCAAAGTTCGAACAACGTTTTTTTCGCTAAAAAGCATTGCTTTATCGACACAGGAAATTATTTTTCATCAATTTTCTCTAAACTAACAAAAATTGCTTCACTCAAAATATTGAATCACACAACCTAATTGTCCGACAGCTGTGAAACTTGTCACTGTCTTTTGAAGGTTGGGGTTAACTGAAAATCATATGATTTTATTATTAGTAGCGCTATCTATGTGTTGTGTGTGCTGGGAATTTAAGACTATTTTGGAAGCTTCTCAATGGATTATTTGAAATAGGATGTAAGGAAGATGATAATAATAACCATAATGGGCTGTTTCAACATTTTTTTTAATGTAAGGTCAAACTTGAATCTTTCACAAAATTTTCTAGATATAATTTGAAAAAGTCAATATTTAAAGCTACCCTTATTATAGCTACATGTATTGTATTGTATTGATGAAGACGAAACATTATATACTTATGATGCACTGTTTGGAACCTTTGGTGTAGTAATGACTATTACTGGAGTCTTTTCCCCAATACCAAATAATCGTTATTTTCAACACTTCGACACGTGTTTCTAGAAGTTCCAGAGGTACTTTGTTTCTGAGATACAGGGCGTTGAAGTTAAAGTCAATCGGTATTTATAAAATATCATGTATATATTCAAGCCGATTCATGATCCGACGATAGCTAGACATTACATATCACATGATTGTATCAACAGCTATCAATTGCCAAATTCAAGTTTAACAGGTTTGGCCATATTCAAACTCAAATTAACCCTATTACTGGTGAAAAACATGACCCGGATATTCCTTCGAGATCGCTATAATAGGAGTTGTACAATCTGTTCGTGAAAAAATTGACAAAAATTATAAAATCATGATGTGTTTTTCGATTTATTCTCAACATTCCATTACCTGCATCCAAGTTTCTTGGGAAGATGAACGCAGTGGGTATCCGAAACCCGCTTTACGTATCGATAAACAATATATTTTCGGACATTTATCATATCAACAATAAAACTTCTCATGGAGAGATCTTTTGGTCATTACTTTTTCTTTCATACGTGGATGATTTGCCACAGTATTTTCAAAATCATGAATTTTTTATACGGAGCAAAAAGGTTCAATCAACCTTCTTTTCAGATCGATTCAAGTGATGGGGGTGTAGTGTTCAACATGAACACACAAAAAATCTCGGTACGGTTATAGACAGTTACTTGGAATTCAAAGAGCGTATTTTCTAACTTTTTCTTCGAAAAACTACATTGCAGCAAACTTGCTGATCCTGTTATATTATTCTTAGTTGTATTCAATTATTGCGCAGAACATTATCGTTCGGGGTCATTCATGTGAACATTTTTGCATACTCATCTATAAAATATCTGAAACCAAAAAATTATGGCGATCTATGTTTATGAATTGTTATCATACATTTTTGTGGAGTCAACATCGTCCAAGAATAATAGTGACTTGCACACATATTCTACGAGAAGTGCTGATGATATCCTTCTGAATCAATGTAAGCACAGTGGGTATAAAAAGTCGCCTCATTTTGTTTGGATAACTGTCACGGTAAATTATAGATGTTTCTTCCGCATCTCTGTTTACTGATCGATGAATGAATTACATGTCAGCCATTCTTAAAATTATGATCAAATAACTACTAATTAATAACTCTGAGTTTTACTGAAATGACAAAAGAACTATCACTGTCAGTTGGTCTCCAAAGCAGTTGAGTAGGGACTTGATGAATGATGAATGAAACAAGACCAAAAAGTTGTATTTTCAGTTGATTGATCCAATAAAAATGAAGAATATAAATAACAAAGAGTGGCGTACTTTCTCCTCAATATTATTGGCTGCAGCGATCACTGCGCCACTGGACTCAATGATTTCAACCTAGTGAGGTCTTCATAGACGCCTCTGAATAACCTCACCACATTTCAACCAAATTGGTTCAAAAATATTTATGATGTTTTATAAATAAATTTTTCAACTCAAACATCCTGTAATTCGAAAACGAAGCATTACCACATATTACTGTTAAAAAAATATGGTGAATTTCCATTTTTCTCAAAAAAGTAGCCCCTTACCGATTCTGTGTGATTCTGTGATATTTGTAAACCACCCTTAGTCCATATGAAATTTTGCTCAATTTGTTAGCTGTATAATCAGTCTGTTTGTTCAATTTCAAGAATACATCAATATGCAGTCCTAGAAGTTTGGTGTCTTCTGGTCGTTCTATCTGTAATTAATTACTAGAAAGTATAAGATATTAGGTTCATTCAAAATTAACCTATTCCCAGTGAACCATTCTTTTGTATCACTAGACATTTCCATACCTTTTTTTACTACTTCAGTGTATGTTTTACGGCTTATTGATAAATTAGTGTCAT